AATGTCTTGAAAGCCACAATAACTTTGCCTAAACACCAGAAAGAATGCTTATCCAAACATCCACACAATTTTAGCCAAACGGTTCAAAGGAAAATACTCATTGGTCAAAACAAAAATATGTTGGTGCAATGCGGAGGAATTTTTCACTTCTTGCCCATGTTGCTTACAGGAGTAATGGGAACAATAGGAGGACCCATGCTCAAAGGACTATTGGCAACGATGGTAAACATCCTGAGAAGATGAAGATAAAAAGGTCCAAGAAGAAATCACATTAATTACAATACATGATCTTTTAATTGATATAAACGTTTAGGTATAACTATTGATGGTATTCTCTCTCTCTCTCTCTCTCTCTCTCTCTCTCTCTCTCTCTCTCTCTCTCTCTCTCTCTCTCTCTCTCTCTCTCTCTCTCTCTCTCTCTCTCTCTCTCTCTCTCTCTCTCTCTCTCTCTCTCTCTCTCTCTCTCTCAGCAGCAGTTTAGCAGTTTAAAGTCTGTGGCCTACCTACGTACACCCTGGGTCACCCTTTGATTTAAAAAGATTGCAGGAAACTCGGCCACTGAAGATGTCGTCAAATAATATCACGTTGTTCTCCGTTCGTATTATCAGACGAAAAATTAAATCAATTTTTGCATATGCCAACTCCACAGAATTTGTTAAAGTGCCTTCTTATAACTGGAGAAAATTGAATCATTTGGACAAGAATTTAAATCTGCTTATCGGGATTATCAACTCATAGTCTTCCAAATAATTTATAAGTTCAAAATGTCGATTCCCAGTCTTAGAAAGTATCCTTGAGGACAATGTATTTCTTGTTGGGAATCTGGGAAGGATGGAAATGAAAAGCAGTCTTAGTCTGTGCATCACTGTTGGTGAAAAATAGATCAGCGGTGCTCTACGTGTACAAAAAAACAACCTAATTATGATCATATGTGCCATGATGCCAGCCATTTGTCAATATCTGTAACTCTCGACTGTTTTGTGGAGGAGAACGATCTTCGTTCCTGGTTTTTGTAGATAGAAACCAAGTACCTACATTCAGCGGTGTTAATCGATCATGGTTTAGTTGTAATATTAAATATTATGGATTGTCCAAGATTTGGCTGAACTTTCATAGCGACTTAAGTCTTGTTGTCTGGTCACTGTCATGTATCAATCACTTTCACATTACATCAACAGCTCATAAATATTAATGCATATACCATCTTATTAGCATTAAATCATTCAAAACTATATATCTATGCTCTGGAAATATTATATCTGTTTTAGAAAGACAATAAAACCACATAAAATGATAGTTGACCTTAGTTTTAGCTTATACGGTCCCGCGTATTATTTGACCTTTTAAAAGATCAATTTTGCACGACAACTCATATTCCAGGAAAGCATATAAGAAAATTTTACAGTTCTTATCTGCTCTTTGAATATCGCAATAGTTAGTTATTGTTGCATACGTTTAGTGGCACGGTGTGGTGGAAAATTAACTGCATACGTTTAGTGGCACGGTGTGGTGGCAAACGAGCTGCATACTTTTAGTGGCATGGTATGTTGGAAAATGAACTGCATAATTTTAGTGGCATGGTGTGGTGAAAAATGAACTGCATACTGTTAGTGGCATGGTGTGGTGGAAAATGAACTGCATACTTTTAGCGGCACGGTGTGGTGGAAAATGAACTGCATACTTTTAGTGGCATGGTGTGCTGGAAAATGAAATGCATACTTTTAGTGGCACGGTGTGGTGGAAAACGAACTGTATACTTTTAGTGGCATGGTGTGGTGGAAAATGAACTGCATACTTTTAGTGGCATGGTGTGGTGGAAAATGAAATGCATACTGTTAGTGGCACGGTGTGGTGGAAAACGAACTGCATACTTTTAGTGGCATGGTGTGGTGGAAAATGAACTGCATACTTTTAGTGGCATGGTGTGGTGGAAAATGAACTGCATACTTTTAGCAGCACAGTGTGGTGGAAAATGAACTACATACTTTTAGTGGCATGGTGTGGTGGAAAATGAACTGCATTCTTTTAAAGGCATGGTGTGGTGGAAAACGAAATGCATACTTTTAGTGGCATGGTGTAGTGGAAAAAGAAATGCATACTTTTAGTAGCACGGTGTGGTGGAAAATGAACTGCATACTTTTAGTGGCATGGTGTGTTGGAAAATGAACTGCATACTTTTAGTGGTATGGTGTGGTGGAAAATGAAATGCATACGTTTAGTGGCATGGTGTGGTGGAAAATGAAATGCATACGTTTAGTGGCATGGTGTGGTGGAAAATGAACTGCATACTTTTAGTAGCACGCTGTGATGGAAAATGAACTGCATACTTTTAGTGGCACGGTGTGGTGGAAACAAAATGCATACTAATGGGCATATTGTGTCGAAGTAATTGGACCAAACACCAAGTTCGTATGACAAGCAAATCAACGTTTCGGAGTCTATAGCTCTGAGTGTTACAAAGATTGTTTCAAGTATATATCTTTTAAGAAAATTATCAAAACTGAATAAGTTGTATATATCAGCAAACAAACCACCACCGACGGCATTGAACTCGCAATCCCGGGCTTAGGAGGCTCGAGGCTTATCCATTAGGTAACAAAACCGCTGAAGTTACTCGATTGTGATTTTGTTATTTATATTATGACTTGACGTAGAATCATTGTTGTATCAACTGTTTATCTTATACAATAAAATAAACAAATATGCGCACGAAGCATAAAGTTTTATTGTTAGTAGTTGTACTAATAGTAGTAGTAGTAGTAGCAGTAGTAGTAGTAGTATCATCTAAATAATTGTCATACTGCTAATAACATAATTATTCATCTACAGTCTGGTTACAAACTGAAACATTCAGCAGTTTTACGATATATAGACAAGTAATAATACAATATGGGGTGCTAATGACGAAGACAAAGAAATACGAGTACTCTTTCAGGACATACTAGTAGGCAAAGCATTTGACAGTCATGGATTTTTGATTAATCCGTAAAAAGAAAATATTGAAATCGACAATAGTTTATTTAATTGCTTTCAGAATTATTTCACTAAGAAAAAAACGTCAAGGTTTTCACTGGGAACGAGAGCAATCCCGGTATGATGTTCCGCTATGAATTACACTGGCCACTTTTTTTTCATTTATCAAGCTAATAATGACACTAATATCCAGTCCAGTATAATAGTATTTGCTGCTAATAGTTCATTATTAATTATTGTTAGGGAACCATTCTGTCATGCTGTAATCCTAAATGAAGCCTTTCATGCAATTCAAGTAGGAACAGATCAAAGGCTTGGTAATTTAAGTCGCAACAAAGAAAGTTCAAGGCGTATGTCAAGACAATATCATTATTTATAATAACATGTTCATTTAATGAACAGCACATTCCTAATCATTAAATTTACATAAACATTTAGGTTTAACTATTAATGACACTCTGCTCGCTCGCTCGCATCCTCCCTCCCTCTCACTCTCGCCCTCAATGTTAGGTTGATTTTTCTCAGCGACAATAATTTTGTCGAGTTAGGTCTTGTTTCGGTGAAGTGAATGTGACTCCACTTCAGACTCAGCCTTAGAGTCATTCAAACAGCTACTTGAGCCTAGATAACCGGCCTCTGTAATCTTTTCTGGATTGTTAATACACTCCTTCGGAATTGTCGTATCCATGCACATTTGTATCTTTTTGCCGTTGTATAAATTCAGTAGGTCGTGTCGCCTTTTTTAAATGTAATTAGGTAACGCCTTAACGATCATATAAACGGTTATCAAGTCAGCAATTTCAAATCTATAGTTCTCTTGGTTACTGTTATCTGAGAAACTCTCTGTAGTTATCAGTATAGCGGGAAACATGTCTTCAGTAATTGCAGGTTGTTAGCATTGGGTTTCTCCGCTGTAAATTAAATCAAGTTCTCAAATATCTGAATACTCCACTGAATTTGTCATCCTTTCTTCTTATAACTGGGTAAACTGGAATCATTTAGCCAAGAACTGAAATCTGATTATCAGGAGTGTTCTATATCAACTCCTTAAATCTTCCAAATAATTTACAAAGTTTAAAAAAAAATTAAAACATCGGCAACTCGACGAAGGGTATCATTGGTGAAACTGTATCACTAGTTGGAAATCTGGGAATGATGGCAATGACATATATTCTTAGTTTGTGAATCGCTATTGGTGCAAAATAAGTCATCGGTGCTACAGGTCTGCAACTAAACAATATTATAATTAGATACGTCATGTGCGTAATGCCATCCATTTATAAATATCGACAACTCTCGAAACTCGAGAATGTTTTGTAGCGGCGACCAATCTTCGTTGCTGCTTTCTGCAATAAGCAACCAAGTACCTGCATTCAGCAATGGAAATCGATCAAGGTTTAGTTGTAATATTGATAGTTCTGGATTGTCCAGACAAATGATAAATTTTGTCAGAACGTTCATGGCGATCAAACTGTTGTAGCTTGGTCGATGACATGTAGCAGATAATCTCAACATATCAACAGGTCTTAAATATTAATACATGTACCATCTAATCAGCTATAAATTCTTCAATGATATGTTTCGTAAATATGAAACTTTTTGAAACTTGTTAGAAATACAATAATCTGCATAAATAAGTAGTTCCCTGTATTTCCATTTAATCCAAAATGCACATACCCACAACGCCCACCCACTCCCTTCTTTTCGCGTAACATCGAAACTTTTACAATATCAGTTTTGAACAACAAAAATTGTAGGAAATTATAAAACAAACTTTTCCAGTTCTAATCGTCCTTATGATAGTTTCAACAGTCAATCATTGATGTATATTGTTAGTGACATGGTTTGATCAAATGAAGATACAGAATGAAATGAATACATACACAGGTCATATTTAGCATCAAGTTCATATAACAAGTATCAACATTTCAGACTTTTATATTCTGAATATGTTGCATGGATTCTTTGAAGTAAATATCTTTAACTGATAAAATTATAAAAGTCAGTTTTTCAGCAAAACTGTTAATCATCTCCGACGGGACTCGAACCCGCAATCCCCGGCTTAGGAGGCCGGTGCCTTATCTTCAACTGATAAAATTATAAAAGTCAGTTTTTCAGCAAAACTGTTAATCATCTCCGACGGGACTCGAACCCGCAATCCCCGGCTTAGGAGGCAGGTGCCTTATCCATTAGGCTACGGAGGCGTTTTAAACTTTTGTGATGTGATTTAGTTATTTATGTTATAATTTGACAAAGAAATGGTGTTGTGTCAAATGTTTATTTACACAAGAAAATAAAAAATATGCGTACGTACTATAAAGTTATTATTATTATTATTATTATTATTATTATTATTATTATTATTATTATTATTATTATTATTATTAATTTTATTACCCTTTTTTAGCAAAAGCATATAGCATGTATATAATTGTCCTACTACTAATAGCGTAATTAATCATTTACAGTCTGGTTACAAACAATTCTTTCGCTTATTGTTATAGACTTCCTTAAAGAAGTAAACCTATATCATAAGTAATAACTTCTATTTTATCATCTTAAACATTTTTGTGTGCATTATTTATACGGTCGCTAGATTTTAATTACCTTTCATATGTTTTCGTTGTCATATATTATTTGCAATCCCCGTTGATCGGGAAACTATTTCTTTATCACAGTTACCATTCTTATCGTTTTACCTTTAGCTATTTGGTTTTGTATTGCTGGCTGATACAGACCCTTTTTACCATTTGTATATAATAAAGAATATAACCTTTCGTATGGCGCTAAATGGCCACTTTGTGCTGGTTCGCCGTAAAAATTCAACCAACCAACCAGCAAACAGGCCGATAAATCACCCCATCGGATTAGGGGATGTTTCTGAAAATTCATTACAGGCTGCACAAATCTGTAATAAGTCTTGTCTGTACACATAAGTATGAATTTTATATACTTGTCGGTATTTCTCGCTACTGTGGAGCTACCATCAGCTGAAGGGTTACATTTTGGCGATATGTACTTTATATTTCCAGAGAAAAACGGGTATTGTCAATCCATAAGGAATAGCACAACATTCTGTCCCGAGGTCATTTTAAATTTCGGGCTAAATGGCATCAGTACACAATTAATAAAATCCGGTTCAGTACACACGAATGTTGTCCCAGTCTATTTTTAGATCACTTTTTTCTGTCTGAGTTTGGTGGTGATACTAGAGTTAGATTTTGGCATTCTTGGTAAGGATTTAAAGGCAATTGTTTATTCTTTAAAATGTGAGAATATGGTATGGTTGTCTGTCTGTATTTTGGCGACAGTGCACATTGAGTAATAAGGTCATGGTGATGATCCGGAAGAGAAATCTGTGTTCCGTTGCCTAGTGTATTGTTTACAATTCAGCCTCTCAAAAAAATGCAGGTCAACCCTTGACAAGAACTTCACCGTAAAGTCATCTTTGAAGGTATTTTAGATTATCATATGATTTGTATTGATTGTCACACAGTGGAAAGTTCAGTACTGATAAACAAATGTAGAGAGAATATAGTCAAATTAATTGTGTTCTATGGCAAAATACTGCTGTTACCAACTACCGGTAAGTGTCTAAAATGTATGCAGGTACGTTCCGGAAAGATTTGCATGCAGAAATATTCCACATTTTAATGAACAGATCAAATCAGACCTACAGACGGCTGTAGCTTGGAACAAGAGTGCGTCCTGCCTGATATTCCACAAGGAGTTATACTTCGGCCACTTTTATTCTTCATTTATCAAACTTATACTGTCACTAATATCCAGTCCAGTATAATATTACTTGTTAATTATACTTCGTGATTAATTCTTGTCGGGGATCCTGTCTGGTATGCAGGAGTCCTGTATGAAGACCTTCATACAAGTCACGTATGGACAAATCAATCGCTTGTCAATTTTAATCCCAACAAGGCAAATTTAGTGGTCAAGAAATTTTCATTATTTATATTAACCTCCTATTTAAAGAACATCATATTACTAATCATTTGAATTTATATAAACATGTGATCAATATTCATAATGTTAATCCGATTTAGACTTGTCCAAATCATGATACATGCAAATCATTACCAACATTCTTGCCCCTCTTTGATGTGTGTGTGTGTGTGTGATTTGGATTTTTAACTTGGCTTTAACTATTATTTCCGTCATATCTGTACGATGTCTGCAGTGTAGCAGTTTATAGAGATGCCTAGCACTGATGCATCATGTCGCAGACACGTAGCATGATGTCCCACTCAGTCACATCATCCTGACATCAGGACCAGGTCTAACACTGGCCGAATAGTTCTGACACTAGCCTCTTAATTGTGAGCGCCTAGCAAAGCAGCTATTAAGTACCAATTTTGTAAGTCTTTGGTATGACTCTGCCAGGGATCGAACCAACGACTTCCATCATTGGATTCGGACGCTCTAACCACGATGTCACCGGAGCGGTCACCCTTCTTTGAAATGCTGTTCAAGAAATTATATTACTCGGAATGCACATATGCACACAATGGTATCAGGCCTTCAAAGTCTGTTAATCAGCTTCTCTCTCTCTCTCTCTCTCTCTCTCTCTCTCTCTCTCTCTCTCTCTCTCTCTCTCTCTCTCTCTCTCTCTCTCTCTCTCTCTCTCTCCACTTTTAAAGACATAGTCACTATTTCGTTGAAAAGTATTAATATACGACGATGTTTTGCCTACAATTTAGAAAACGGCTTCAACTATAATACCTAGGTGAAACATTTGCTAAGATTAAACATAATCAATTATTAATAAGCCGTTCTTCGTTTATTTAAAGTTCGTCACCTAGCACCCTACAAACATTTTCAATCTTTGATAAATGATACTTGAAAAAATCTGTTCAGCTTTTGCTGGAGTATATAAAATCAGAGCAAATCTTATACCTGGGTAGTCGCGTTGAAGCCGTTATAAATACATACGATTCAGGAATTTATAGCCGGTAAGGACGGATTCCTCTGGGCTAGTTAGATTGGTTTTATTGGTTTTATCTATACGTTGTGTATTTTCGTTGGGTCAGTGCTTTTCATCAATATTCCATTCAATTTTGTTGTTGTTGTTGTTGTTGGACTTAACGCCATTTTTCAGCACACGATTCATGGCGGCCATTATTATTGGTGGAGGAAGAAACCGGGAAATCAACGGAAAGAACCAGCGACCCACGAGAAGCTACTGGCAAGCTTTCTCACATATCCACATTCGCCGAATCCTAGACTCGAACACACACAGACAGAGGTGAGATGGCAGTGATCCGTAACGGACAGCGCTTTAGACCACTCGGCCACTCGGGGCCCCTCATTCAATTTTGTAATTTGCTTCTATCCATAACCTTACACCCATCTTCTCTGACAAAAGCACCCACAAAGTAATATAACAAAATGTTCATCTCAATTTTCGTTTTGACGTCATTGATAAAATTACATATATAGCTCAAAATTATCGTTATTACAATTTTGTACGATTCTTTCTTTGTCACTGTATTCACGCAAGTCAGTGTAACACAATTTTGATTTTGTCATTAACAGGGAGATAACTCTACATGAGCAGAACGTGTTCTTCATCTTCATATTTGATTCAGCAAGAAAAAAACATTATATAAGCAAGTATTATTGCCCAATCCGTCGTGTATGATTCAGTGTGTTATTAGCAATGAGATAACCCTATATAAGCAATTATTGTTACCCAATCCGTCGTGTATGATTCAGTGTGTTATTAGCAAGGAGATAACCCCATATAAGCAATTATTATTGCCCAATCCGTCTTGTATAATTCAGTATGTTATTACCAAAGAGATAATCCTATAAAACCAATTATTGTTGCCCAATTCTTCTTGTATGACTCAGTATGTTGTTAGCAGGGAAATAACCCTATATACTTAATTATTGTTGCCCAATCCGTTAAGTATGATTCAAAATGTTGTTAGCAGGAATATCACTCTACATTAACAGTAATTGCCACCCATCACACATTTATTTTCACTATATATTCTATACATCTGCTTTTCATGGTGTACAAATTCAAATTAGTCATACAGTAATCTTTTGATTGCCTTCGTGTATAATTTGCCTCTTCAATTCTTTATAAGTGGTAGTGATGGGACGGAATGGGTTGATAAGTGATTGAGATGCGTATGATATTAAACATAGGTACCAGAAACAAACGTGTGGCATTGAGAAAATTATTGTTTGATAAAGTGTATTAATATCAGGAAATTTTAAAATTTAAAATAGCTACTCATATCTCTTATTTGCTAATACGTCTTTGGTGATCTCACATAATTGTAACGATATGCACGTAAGTAATGCAAAATTGTTTATATTTTGGTGCAATATTAAAAAATATGGCTGCTGATAACAATACTGTTTTTAACCAATTAAAACAATTAATTAAAAAATCTTTGCGGGATCTGGATAGCCTCATGTACAATCAGTGTATAATTATGCCTGATTTTAGATTCAGATCAGCGTTTAATGAGCTACAATCTAATCCTATTATTGAAATTTGTGCACACTTTCACCTTCATATTGTTAAACTGGAACCTTTCATGTATTCATGTGTGTGATGGGGGGAAACAAGAAAACCCTTCTTTTATTCGGCGTCGTTAGCTAGGGAATGATCTCCCGCGATGTTATTGCCCAGTGTGGACGGATAGATGGAACGTTACAGATAGCGAAGAAAAGTATTGAAATAAATAAAAAAAACACGAGTCCAATTTCAATAAATAAAAATATAAAATTTTAATCAATTAACATATAATGAAAGAAAAATCAATTCCCATACAACCGATTTACTATGTTAGATATATTCAATTAAAACATAGCCAAAATTCAATTTCCAGTTCGACTGATTGTCAGTGACAGAATTTAATTGCAGTATACTACTTTCATCATTTTTATGAGTGTTGAATTTGAGTACAATTTCCAATGCTTTTACAGCATCACAAGTCAACTGTTTTCACGCGACATGTTTCCCACGTGTAAACAAGTGCTTGGTCCTCTTCCGACCCTCTTTTTTCTGACATCCCGTAGATGTAGATTTTCCTTTAATATTGTCGGATTTCTTCCGCATTCC